TAACAAATCAAGACACAGAGGTCTGCAAAGAAAAGAAATTGGTTGACAGGAAGTTACCTTTATTAAGGCATAACATAATTAATTCATTTTATAGAAGGAATTAATAGAATGAATTCTAGTTTGATAACAGAAGGACAATGAAATATTGTGGTGGATGATAAAGTAATGAGTTGATTATGCAAAATAAATAACACAATTTATGCCAAATAAGTGATACATTCAAACCATTTTACACACAATTTAATGAAGATGTTCAATTTAAAATAATAGATAAAAACTAATGTCTCATAAAATACTATATAACACAAATAACATGCATTACTATGACTAACTGAAATGTGTGATACATTGTTTAATTTTACTGCCTTATATATTTTTCACCTTCTAAAAGATAGTATTTCATGTGCTCTGTTTCAGAATACCAATTCTGGAGAACCCCAATATTGTTTTTGTATGTTATTATAAGAACCATTTACTCATTACTATGTTAAACATCTTGCCAATACAATTAATTTCTATAGTCTAGTTAATATCTTGTGACTATATGAATAATATATGGGAAATACCAGAAACACTGCCATTTGAGGTCTCAGTTTTCAATATTTTGGGCTTAAGGGATTATAAGATAAATAACTTCTCCTTTGAAAAGAGGGACTAGATTAGGGAAGGATAAAGAAATTTGAACAAGGCAAGAATGGAGGCGAAATAGTCAAGTGAGAAGAGATGCATATAGTGAAGGAGAAGAAAAGAAATGAATTAGGAAGGGAAACCAAAATTATAAGGACAAAATTTACTTAGCAAACTGGGGGGAAAGCACCTATGTTAAACAGTATCATGAAATACATGCCACTAAATGACATCCAGGAAAGAGGTTAGAGCTAAAGGGGGATAACAGGGAGGTGAACTTTAATATATTCTGATTATGTTGACTTCTCCCCTTTTAACAATGCTCTCTTATTTTGTGCTTGTAGAAAAAAAAAGTGAGGCCACAGTCAGAAATGATAATCCATGTTGAGAATTAGAGAGTCCCAGCCAAAATTAGAATGAAGTTCCCAAGTAAGTCAATAGTCCTTCAGTCTGTTGTCCTCCCTTCATCCCCTTTGCTATGACTTACACGTCTTACGCAGTTGTATTTACCATATTGAGAGAGTAAAATGACACTGTTTTATAATGCTTATCTTCTATCTCTTAGCTATCAATGATCAACAATCTACTTTTGCAGTCTATCTTCTTGACATCTCAACCTGGTCATTCAATTTAGGTAGCTTTTTATAACCGTTTGCCTAAATATTCAAGAAGTGCTAGAAAATCTTTCACAATGACAATGGATATGCTTTAATATTAACACAAAATAGAAGGAACTTTTCCAAATGCCAGATTCAATCATGATACATATCTCCTTCTTTAAAATGATATGCCTAAGAAGAAAGTGTGGATAAAATACTTAGAACACTCACACGAAAAAAGTATTAACCTGTAAATTAGCAGATTCATTATTGATATGCCCAGATTTTTTTTAATAACTACAATGTCATCAGCAAAAAACATGCTTAAACTCCATCATGAGGGCAGAGTTGCTGGTTCAAACTATGCCAAGGTGGGAGGAAGATGGAGAGGGAGAGGGAGTAGAAGAAGGAGAAAGAGAGGGGGGACGGAGGGAAAAGAGAGAGAGAGACACACACACAGAAAGAGAGAGAGAGTAACAGAGAAAGAAACAGAGAGTAAGAGACAGAGACAGACAGAAAGATAGATTCTAGGGTGTTTTCAGTAGCCTTTGAGGAGTTGATCTTCACTGGCAAGGAAGACATGCAATAGGAATCATTCTGCTTTGCTTGGATGTTCATGATTTTTTTTCTTCTTCCTATCTGGCAGTCAGTTTTTCAGCCACAGAAGTATGTTGATGTGAAAAGCTTAGAAGCTTATAATGAAGAATATAGCAACATGAAAATGGACATGTAATTTCCAGTTTAATTTCAAGAAACTACACACACACACACACACACACACACACACACACACACACACACACACATAAATAGAAAATTTAAATAAAAGAACATAGGAGAATCACACACATCTAATTGGACATGAAGGGTTAAGAAAAGTAACAAAGTCAATTGCTATTGAGCATATGAACCATGCCAGCCATTTAAAACTTCCCGTTATTCATTTATCTTTCACTGACCCTCATGAGAATATTTAAAATTGCTTTTCAATAAACTTTATATAAAAATTTTATATTGTACAATATTACCTGCGGTAGTAAGATTTTAAAATTACAGAAAACTACTGAGATAGTATCATCTAAAATAAGATTTAGCATCACTGTTTTCTAATTGTTGAATCAGGAATGGTATAGGCTAATTCTGATAATATTTTATCATTCTGGTGAATTAATAGATTCAATAATTTATATTATGTATTTCAAGTATATTATACTACTTTTTAATGTAACACCATAGCCAACCACTACTCTCCATTTTAATGACTAGAGAGGATACAAAGAATAATTGCAGATCACAAATAATTCACACTTGTTTCAAATAATGCATCTACCTACCCATGCTTTAGTAGTATGAAAACTCAGAGAATTTTCATTCTACTCTCTCTGTGTGTTTTGAATAATGTTAACACACTATACAGATCATAACACAGGCAACAATAAAAAAGAGGGAAGGCTAGTTTACATTAAATGAGAAAAAATCCATGCACAAATATGCCTCTTGAGCACAAAGAAGAAAATCTGGTAACTAATCACATTATTAAAAACAGCTACTTTCATGAAACTCAATATATCTTCTTGTTTCTGTTTTAATCCCAAATGCATTTGTTGGCTCCAATAGCAGTCTACCAAGAAACAGGACTCCAAGTGGTCCAACTACAATATTAGGTAAAAAGGATGGAAGAGAGGTAGGAAGGTCAATTGTTATCAAGTTCCTAATGTGTACCAGCATTTGTGCTAGGCATTTTACATTTTTATACATCTGAGGGGAATGAGCTCAGTGAGAAATGGCAGTAAACACGAGCTTCAAACCTAATTCCAATTTCAGTTCAATGAATTCAGTACTCCAATTGCATCAATTCTCCCTTTCTGTTCTCTTTACTTCCTAATACATGCCCCCCTTAATGTCTCATTGAATCTTGAGATTTACTCAAATGATTACTAAGTTATTAAGATTTCTTACTCCTTTGATAGTTTTATAAGTTGAATTGTGGAAGGGTACAATAAGATTGAAGTAAGAGCATGGGCCTTGGAGTAAAAAATTTACAAGAAGTTAAATTAAATACTTTTTCTGAGTCTCAATTTCCACATACGGCAGCTTTTATAAAGGATTTATTATAAAGAATAAACAAAATATAAAATATGTGACATGATATTTGTGTGTACAGTTACATATTAAAATTTCAGTTAATGTTTCTAGAAAAGGTAAATTACTCTGGTAATATTAGGCATTTAAAGCCATAATTAAACTTCACAGTAAAAACTAGAACTAAGTTTCTTCAATCCTTATTCTATGCAGTTTTAAAAAATTTTTAAATATTTCTGGGATGAAATGTGTGTGCACATTCTCATAGCATTTAAATGTTACCAATTCATACAGATTTTATTAGTTTATCTGTAAACTTTTAACTTTGAATTTCATTTACTGAATGTCAGATCTGCTCCATAATGAGTACTCTTTTAAACAACTTTCTTTTTCACTAGAGACTTTCAACTTTAATTTGATCAAGTAGAAACTCATGTAGAAAATATGCAATATTTGTGTTAGGTTCTCTTGCAGAGAAAGAAGCAATATGAACAGAACAGAAGGGGAAGGTACTGATGAATTGGAACAGTTAGTTGCTTTATCCCCTTGCCCCAATTCTCAGACTATGTATGGGTCCAGAAATTTCCAAAAGGACAACCACTTTGAATAATTTCTTTTATAATGACAAAATAAAGTCATTAGTACTGTCATATGGAAGAAACCCTTTGTGTATTATCAGCATGTTCTTGTTCAGTACTACACACACCAATATATCTTATTTTTTAAAAAGTTCTGTCCACTTTTAAATCAGATAATGAACTCACTGAAGAAACATTTTTAACTTTCATGATCATTGGGAGCCTTTCTAAACTTTCTCTAAGAAAAAGCAGTCTTCCCAAATTTTCTTCTCTCATTATGACATGCAGAAGCAAATTTAGCTCAATAGTATGAACAGAAAATGATTACTCATCCTAAAGTTACTAAACTATATGTAGAATATGTATTTTTAAAATTACCATACTTTTAAAGATGAATATTATTACATTGATAATCTCAGATTATTTCGATTTCAAATTTTGGCAACAGACTTTATGTTTGCCAATGAGGGGGAATAAAGTGAACCACCTGAGGCATATAAAATAAACAGAAATGAATACTGTTCATTTACTACATCTTTGAAAATCTATCACATCTATCATAGGCATTAAATGCCACTGGCATTCATGGTTATGTGAACAGATTCAGGAGCCTCATAGGACAATAAAGTTTTGTGAACTTGTTCAATTTAGCATAATATTTTTAGAACAAAATCTATAGTTCCGCTTGGCAAATAGGAGCCAAGTCAGCTACTGAGGATTATATAATTTTTTACAAAAATGTGCATTTAAATTATGCCAAATCTTCTACACATTAATCAATAAGTCAATGTTACAACAGATAAATGAATGTATATATATATATATATAATATATCCATTAAATTTATCTAGTAGCTAATTCACAAATCTACAAAAATGAAAAAAAAATGTTATACCAGAAAATGTCAAATTTACAATCATAATATTTCCTCATTTTTCAAAAACCCATGTCTTACATTCCATCAAACAATTTGGAAGAGTAATCATTCAGTTATTTTTTTAAAGTTCTTCAATTATTTTGTATAAAATATTGGCCTTTAATTTCACTGGTATTATTTGAAAGTTTTAGCAAAGAATTAGTTTCTCCCACTGACTCTTAAGGTAATTATACATACCACAGTCTGATGATTAACTTGAATCACTTCATCACCAGCATGGATTTTCTTGCATCGATCTGCAGGTGACTGAATTTAACATAAAAGAAATGATGACATGAGGTTTATCAGCTTTTTTCTTTCTCTAGGAACATCACAAAAATCTACCTCTTTAATTAGATTAAAAAAAATTAACCATAACTTTCAAGTAATTATTATAATGTGCTTATTGATAGTTAATAAGATAGTTATATGGTTTACATTTAGTTTATAGCTACTGATAAAATACAAAGTCATGCACAGATATTTACATTGGAAAATGACAACTTCTGGAATCATTAAAGGGCAATAATAATTGCTACTAAACCTGACAAACTTAATCCAGAAAAAAATTAAAGAAACAATAAAAGAAGGAAACAAAAAGCACTAAGAGAGAGAAACAGAAGGTGAGGAGTTGGAAAGGTGGAGAAGAGGGGAGGATCTGAGAGGAAACAAAAGAGGGAAACTGGGATCAGAATATATTGCATATAAAGTATTTTCAATAAAAAATGCAAAAATATATTTGTATATTTCACAATACTATGAGTCTTACTTAAGCCCTACCCATTTAATGTAAATAATCCATATTAAGGTAAACAGATCAATATTTTAAAGTATATGTATATAATTAGCATTAAACTTTGAAGCCGGATAATTAAGTTGCTAATTTATTTCACTATTAATAAAACCAATTGTGACTAATACAGAACAGAAAATTAAAACACAAGCAGTAATTAGGTCAAGATTACATTACATAACATTCTCTCCAAGTGTCTAATTACAAGAGCATGCTGTTCTGTCTCAATTATTTGACAAACCACACCAAATGAAACAAAATGTCAACATGTCTATAGCATAAAACAATTTCACCACTTCACTTTCTTAATACAAAATTAAAAACAAAAATCAATAAAACCAACCTGGTGATTTAATATTTGTATGTTTTAAGATGTATAAAGGAAACCAAATGAGATCTGTGATAGAATTTTTTAATTCTGCACGTCTTATAATAGATTTTATAGCCTTATTTTCTAGTTCCACTGATTAACAATTATATGCATTGCAGGCATCTTTATATGGTGATACACTCTTGTACACTAACTGTACAGATAGACTTTTATAGAACATATTAACCTATTAAAATCATTTGCTTATACTCTGATATTACTCAGTAGTATCTATTAAAACAACAACAACAACAAAGAAAAATAGTATGGTGACAGAACTTAGAAAATAAAACACTACATTTAAGACCCAGGAATGAGATGTACTTTAAAGGTGATTTTGGGACATTTTTATTTTATGTTTATGTGCTCCCTCCTGCCGTGTGTGTGTGTGTGTGTGTGTGTGTGTGTGTGTGTGTGTGTGTGTGTATAGGCCACAGGTTGGCATCAGCTCTTTTCCCCAAATTGTTTAAGCACCTTATTTATTCTTTCTTCTTAAAATGTATTTATTTATTTAATTTGTATGTGGGCAAGCTTGTGTCTTAGTGGCACATGTGGCAACCAGAGAACAAATTTGGTAATTCAGTTATTTCTTTCTACTATGTGGCTTCCAGGGACAGAAGACAAGATCATCATGCTTTGTATCAAGTGCCTTTACCCACTGATCCATCTTACATGCCCTTTAAATTTTTTATTTTTACATTTATTTAGAATGTGTGTATGTGGAGGGGGAGGAGACATACACAGGTCATTGCAAATCTATGGAATTCAGCAGACAACCTTAAGGAGTTGGTATTCTTCATTTACTGCACTGGTCCCAGGGATGGAACTCAGGTTGTGAGGCCTAGCAACAAACATTTTTATCTGCTGGGTCCTCCTGGTGACTCCACTGCCTGGCTTTTGAGTCTGTTTCTCTAAGTGAACTGGAGTTCAAGAATTAACTATACTGAGGGGCAACAAGCCCCAGGGATCTACCTATCTGCTCCCCTGTACTGGTTTACAGAGGTCCTCTGTGGTATCTGGATATTATGTGGGTGGTGGGGATCCAAATTCAGGTCCTCAAGTTTGCATTACAAGCATCTTGCACAAAATCAGCCATGTCCTCAGGCCAGTTCCTTAAAAAAATTCATTTCCAATTTTTAATTATTTTGAAAACAGAAAACTTCAAACTACATTACCTCACTGGAACAAAAGTTTTTGCCTATAAAAAAATTGTCATAGGCTAAAATTCAAGATAATATTCCAAAAAGTATATTATTTAATGAACTAAGAATACTGTTAAGGAGGTAGATTCATCTGAAATATGAACCCTATTCTAAAAAAAAAATCAGTGATCTCAAATTGTCATCAGGCAGTATTACCATATCGGACCAGCACCATGTAACAATTCTGAATGGATTAAAAATTACAATGCATAGGCCGGGCGTTGGTGGCGCACGCCTTTAATCCCAGCACTCGGGAGGCAGAGCCAGGCGGATCTCTGTGAGTTCGAGGCCAGCCTGGGCTACCAAGTGAGCTCCAGGAAAGGCGCAAAGCTACACAGAGAAACCCTGTCTCAAAAAAAAAAAAAAAAAAAAAACCAAAAAAAAAAAAAATTACAATGCAATAGTGTCAGTCACTTGTGCCATTTGGCTGAAAACTGTTTTTGTTTTTTTTTTAAGAGGAATGGGAGAAAAATCAATCAAATAACTCTAGTCAAGATATTAAAAAAAAGGATGGTTTGCATATACATAAAGCTAAAAAAAACAAGTTTTGCATAGAAAGGAAAAATCAGAGCAAGTCATACAAATTATAGACTTTCAATGCGGAGTGGGATGTCAGAGATCATTTCTCTCAATTCCTCATTTCAAACATAAAAAACAAAGAACTGGGGCATAGCAAAAAAAAAATATAACTTAACCACTTTAGTGACAAGCTTTACTAAGACTCAACACAGAACTTGTAATTACAAATTATTTAGGGTTCCAAAATATTTAAATATTATCAAGAAAAAAGAATCAAATGATGAACTATAAATATGTGATTGATGTGTGAACTATACCCAGATTCTAATTTTCCTTTTATCATTAAGCTATTTATCAAGTTTCACCGAGTAAGTAAAGTGTACGAAGCATAGTATTCAACTGTTCCTTTCCCAAATGTCAGCTAATGGAGGGAGATCCATTCCTATCAGTTCCTCATGATACAGTACAAAAGCACCATTTCTGTGATTTCTTCTCTGGCTCACTTGACAGCATTTATTAGTTTTTCCTTAATGGATCAAGTAAATAGTAGTACTTGCTTACATAGTTAAATCCTATATTCATATTTTGTACTTCTTGAGGAAAAAAAAAACTAGTTTATTATATGTATCCTTCCAATGTTTAATGCTGTGCCTGGATCACAGCAGAGTTGAAGTGGGCCTGTTCAATGACCAGTGAGTACATGAGTGATCTAATGAATGTACAAGTAAATTAGAGGATGATGGCAATAGTGTAGTGTATAGTGTCTTACTGAATTTCAGACTAGGAAATATTTCACAACATTCATTTTACTGATTTTCACGGTGTCCATTTTTAATATCAAATATGAAGGTGCTACAACATTCCACTTACAAAGTGTTTCAATTTCAACAAGAAACCAAGAAGATTAAATCAATAATTAATTAGATTTAGTGGGTGAATTAACTACAGAGAATGGTGATTTCAAAAAAGAAAATATTGGTAAAACATTGAGATCAATGATAATTGAAATTAGCTTAATTCCACTACAGTATTATTCAAAGTAACACAGCATAAAGATGCAATTTGTCTGAATCTTTAAAAGAAAATAGCAAATTCAAAGTTTATCACCTGCTTATGAAAGAAAAGAAACCTGAGATAATGAATAATTTTTTTTGCTATTCAATTTCTATTATGCTAATCATGTTAATGACTGACTTAATGCATTTCTATTTCTCTTTTTAGAACATAGCTATATAGTTCTGTGTGCCATTATCCTTAACTTGCTTAGTTGATTTTTACAACCTAGTGTGGTATGTACTGCTGATAATCTTTTTCCAATTTATAGTCAGAACACCTGTTAGAATCTTTTCATAAGGGAAGGATATTCTTAGGATTCTGGGTCTATGGTAGAACCTTAGATTTCAAATTTCTAGCAAGCTCTCAAAGTAGACTGATGCTGCTAGTGGAGGAATCTCACTGTTAAAACCATTCAGCTACACCTCTATTGCATTGAGTTGAATTATCCTGCAAGTATCCAGAAAGTCCGATCGATTAGATATTTCTCAAAATAACTAAACTAACTGACAGATGGAAGTAGATTATTTTAGTTGTCACAATAACTTGTCATGAACCAGAAAGTACTTAACAAAGACAACTCTCTGGCTTAAAAGGAAAACATCTGAATTTCTCTAAGCCACTATTCTATACTAAATAAAATGATTGAAATTCCAATGCATCCAGAATCTACTAATTTAATAAGTATTTTTAGATATGTTCTTGGAAGCAACATTTAATCTTAATCATGTGAAATACATACATACTGAAATTAACCCACAGGTCCCGGGAGGATAGCTAGTAAGGAGGACCCTAGGAAGAATGCATGGATTGCCCAGTGATGAAGAAATGGATGAAATCTACATGAGCAAACTGGGGGTGGGGGGTAATGGAAATGTTTTAATACTTACATTTTCTGTGGTTCCAGTAATTACATGGAGGCCATCATACGTAGATTTAATGTACATTCCCTAAGAAAAAGACAGGATCAGAAAAAAGTGAAGCAAAGTGAACATACTGTCAAATATAATGTAATTTTATTTATGAGTTAACAATGCTGCTTTAAAACTGGGGAAAAAATTACCACGTGAATGTTTAGTTTTCTAAAGGTTGTCTAAAGAAGCCTATACTCAATCAAGTAACTACTTGATAAGTTAAATTGCCTTAAGGACATAAAATTCAGTATGGTATTTCAATGTCCTGGGCATAGTTCATTCTTTTAAAATCCATACTGTACATCCTGTTGAAATTAAAGATTATAGTAGGAAATTCGATTTTTGTATATATGTAACTAGCCTATTATGTATGTTGTAATTTTACAGTTAAAAGTAGGCATCAACAGAAATATTCTATCTGTAATTACCTGGAGGTAAAACCCTAATAAAGTTTTACTTATATAAACTTTGTTTTATTATATTGTAGCATTCTATATTTTATTTTGTAGTATTTTATATTTTTCTGTCATACAAGATTCATATATTTGATATACAAGCAATTTAACAATAACTAACAATACATTGCAGAAAAGAATACATTTAAGATTTATGTAATGAAATAAATTTTAATAATATTATTTTCTCATACTTCTATGTTTATTATATATCTAGACACCCAAATATACATATGATTTCAGTGAAAAGAAAAATGAAGCAGAAAAGTCAATTGTATGGAAGGTCTAAGGAATGACTAGGTAGTTTTTATTCTGAAAAGTCATTTCAAAATATCTTATATAAAATGGCTAATAGTTCCAAAAACTGTTGAGCCTGGAGCTCTAAATGGGAAATGAAATGAATGCAATTTTAAAAGAAGGTTGTTTGCCAGTGAACTCTATTTATTTAAATGGAAGTTCACAGTTTAATAGAATAATAAATAATAGCCCAAACAAAACTATACATGGAAATTAATTGACAAACTGGCAAGTCATTTTTGGCTATAACAAAATGGTAATATTCAAACTTATGCTGGTCAGTGTATGACACACTTTTGAGTTAATATTTATCCCATTACTTATTGGAAAGCAAATATTATAATGTTAAAAATCTTAGGAGAAAATGACTGGTACTGACATTTCTACCCTAGCTATTAACAAGATTTTATCAAATCAATAAAAGATCTTAAATACTATTTGTAAGAGGCAAATACTACGTTTTCTTTTTAAATTTCCTATTAAAAGATTGTGAGCAAATAAAGTGGAAAATGGCAGCAAAATAAATAAAATGTATTATTTGGACTAGAAAACAATCATCTACAATCTATCTGTCTGTCTGCTGCCTGCCTGCCTATCTCCATCATTACTTGTAGCTATTACAATGTGCCTGGGCCTGTTTTAAGTATCTTATGTTTATTTTACAAAAGTCTTTGTGGTATAACTATCATTGCCACTGTTTTAGAGGTAAGCAAACTAAGGCACAGAATGCCTGGATAGTAAGCCTAACTAAGGTGGTGAAGTCAGGTCTCATGTCTGAATCCAGACACACAATCAATGAACTCCTGACTTTTGGAATTATTTACTGGAGAGTTATTGTATTTTTCGTAAAAAGCACAATTCCTGGATATTGTAAAAATTAAAGTAAAAAAAATCACTAATTAATGTACATTATTTTCTGGCAGCCCCAGGCAAGCTCTACCATTGAACTACACTCCTAGCTGTTGAAATCTAGTCTAAAAGTCTAAAAATAACCCTAGCATATATGCAGTATGCATATTGTAGTTTCAAAGAGTATCTAGGTTTGACTTTGGATAGTTTACAAATGTATTTCAAAGTCATCTCCTTTGACAATCTTAAGTAGAGGTTGATTATACTTCTTTCCATAAATCTTTCAAAATAAGGTATATTGATTATGATTACTGATATTTGACAAGAGTTTTAAATGATTCCAGAAATGTTTTGGTCATAAAGCAAATCTAGTATTCAGAAAATGAAACCCAAATCCTGGGAAAGTGAAAATTATGCGAATAATCCATGATTCAGGAAATAATGCTTATGTATAATTATAGCAGAAACTAGGGAATGCTAAAAGCCACAATTCTAACAAAGTATTTAGTAGACACAGGATTCTATCATTGATGCAATCACAACCATGTTTTATAATTTATATTAAAGCTATTTTTCTGGTTAATTTAAATATTTACATAGAGTTAGTGCTGGGAATAGTGGTGCATGCCTTCAATCCCAGCATTTGGAAGGCGGAGGGCATCCTGGTCTCTATTTTTTTCCTCTTGGGGAAAAATCAATTGTGGAATTGATTTGAACAGCTCCCTTTTCCCTGCTTAGCTTGCTAAACTGTTGTTTTCTTCACATCATCTCCAAATACCAGTTAAGCAATAACAGTCAGAGAAGTCTCACAGTCACGGTGGTCAAACAAGGCACATTTGGAGTTAGTTCAAGCACCTCACAAGAGAAAGAAGCCTGAATCCAAGCCTACAGAATGATGCCTTGAGGCCCCTCCCTTCTATTCAACTCTTCATCTTGTCTGCCATTTAGTTTTTAAATGTTCTAATAGTTCTCATTTCCATATCTTAATTTTCTGCTAATCATTGATTTTTAAAGGCAAGACACATGGATGGCTTAATTACATCTAAGCACACTTGCTTGCAGTCTCTCCCTCTGCATTTGCCTTTTAGACATTTCCCATGGTTATGCATTTGGTGAATGTTAGTCAAATTCTCAAATTGATTTATTTTAAACATGACCTATGCAGGTTACTTGAAAGTGAATGCACTTTGAAATAGCATTTTGAATAAGTCATGTAAAGCCTCTAATCTTTTGATATGAATCATAAGAAAGAAGTTCACCCTTAATTCTTTCAATTAATACTCAATATTTTAAGGTTTTCTTTCGCTCTGTGTAAAATATCAATTCAGTTGAAGTATTGCCCGCTGTCCTTTACAAATGACGCTCTTTAAGTAAATTCAAATTTAAGATTATCTTCTCAAGCAGTTCCTACCTCCCTTTAGCCATTCCAAATTGGATATAAGATCATGACAAAAATAGTTGCCATGTATATTTTATTTAGATTTACCTCATAAATCCCTGCCTCTACTGGCTATTATTTAATGCAAAGCAATCAGTAAAAAAATCTGTGGTTCTGTTCTTACTTGCAAAATGAGAAAATTAATACTGACTCCGTAGTGTTATGAGGAAAATAAAAGGCAAATGAAAAGTACTTCTAACACCTATCCTAACTTCTATTTTTTTTCTTTTCTCTGACAGTTGTTTTCCAAACTACTGAAAATTTTGGTTCTTGCCATTTTAAGTTTATGTCCATTGCATAAAGAAGATACAGACCTAACTTAAGTTAAAAAGATTTCTTCTGGGGCTATATCTTCATAGAGAAATAAATTGTTCATAAAGTCCATCAATTAGTTTTATTTATCTCACTTCACATGCCTATTGTTCCCCATGATTTTAGTGGAAATTAAAGGGGAAATTACATGTTTTTATTCAAACAATGCTCTTTAGAATCACAGAGTTATAAAGCTCAAAGAACATCTAAAGATGATCTACCCTTGCCCCTATACTTTCTCTGCGACAAAATAAAGGTCATAGAAGTTAAGTTTATTCTCCCACGTCCCTAAGACTGCTCTCATGTTTTATGTAAATAATTTTATTCCAGGTTCCCAAATTCAATGCTAATATAATGTATTAGTTTTTTAACTTTTTTATTGCACACATTGTATTAAGAACACCTTTCACTGAAAATAACTGAAAGAAGACATGGAGAAAGGAAAATATGAGTTTGGTAAAGGTAATCAAAAGGTGCACAGTCATTCAGGAGGAAGTGACCAACTCATATGGAGATATGTTCCCAAAGCCTACGATATATCTGGGAGTATAGATAGTATCAAACATAGTATGTATAGTATGTATGCATTGTTTTTCCTATACAACCGTAATATTGATGAATTTTCATTTATAAATTAAATGAGATTAAAATAATTAATAGAACAATTACAATTATATACTGATATAATGGTTATATAAATGCAATGTCCCTCTCTCAATGTATTATATATTTTCAATTTATCAATAGATATAGGAATTATTTTATGGCTTCTTCTTAGCATATCTGATTTGTTATCACCACTATTTGTACACGTTGGGGCTATTTATAAGTTAAATAAGAGTTGACTGAATACAAGCTCTTGCAATATCATGACTGTAGTTACTGAGTGGATATCATGTATAGTTTGGCTAAGCTGGACAAAAGGATTATTCATGTCCCTGATGAGTTGGAATGAGATTTTAATCACACTATTCAGAATGGTATGCAATCTCAAATGTAACAATTGTTTGTTTCTGGAATTTCCATTTTATATTTTGGGACTGCAGTTGATCATGTTAGTTGAAAACACAGAAAGTAGACTTCAGATAAAGGGGAAATGCTGTAATGAGAATTTTAAATCATAAGGTTTCTTCATGTAAACCTATAAACATTAGAAATAAGCTTTTAAAAGAAGTCAATATTAGATATAGTACTTACAACTTAGTATGATGTCATCTAACCAGGTTGCTAAGCTTGATTTTAATCTTTTCAAGAAAACATTTATAAAACCAAAGAAAACTCAAGCAAAACAAACAAAACAAACAAAAACAAAAATACTAGAAACTATCGACACCCAGAATCAATTTGTCAATGAGCAGGAGAAAAGTCACTGTATAGAATACATGAATGGCCTCAAATTAAATATCACTGGTGGTCAATAAAGGCTTTTCTCTCTGAAATAGTTACAAACATAACTATATATAACTATATATATATATATATATATATATATACACACACACACACATATATATATACATAATTATGTGATAAAACCACCTAAGTATATTGATACGAATATGCTTGTTTCCAAGATTTCTGTTTTCCAGAATATCATTATATATGGGGAGAAAGTTTAGAGGACATATGATGAAATTAACATTTAGTAAATACATTGTAGTTAAATGCTTACCTGAGCCAGTTTGTTTAGTATATCTGTGTCTTCCTCATCAATATCAATTTTATGTTTGCTTTCTACAGTTATATTTAAAAAGCTCTCCCTCAAGTTAAATTTATAATTAAGACATTTTTAACCAGTTGAAAAAACTATTAACATAATAAAAATTTATCAATGCATTTCATGAAAGTTAGCCTTGTGGTAACACTATCCAGTTGTTTATTCAATTCTTATAACAAGAGATGTGAAAAATGGAGGGGATGCAATTCATATACATTATAATGTCTAGGGAGATGGCTCAGTGGGTAAAGTGCTTGAGAAGTAAATATAAGGACCTGAGTTCGGATCCCCAGCATCCACACAGAAATATTAAGCATGGTGGAACTTGACTGGGAGAGACAGGTGGTATTGGGGTGCTTGCAAGCTAGTCAGTCTAGTGAGCTCCAGGTTTATTAAGATACTTTTGTCTCAAAAAAGGAGAGAGCAATTGAGGAGGACACTCAATGTTAAATCCTGGCCCCAACATGTGCATACATAGTCATGCCTGCCCAGACACACAACTACACATACACAAACACACATACACTACACATAGACTTACATATAAAAATGTGACTTTTAAAATTACTTACCCAAGGGAAAGATCTATTAAAACCAGAATAAATCAAAGTAAAACAAACACAGAAAATATCTACTTGAATGACAGGTAACACTGTGCTTATTGTAAAACTCTTAAATGTCCTTCAGCTAAGGAATTTAATTTTAATTGGTGAAAGAATGCAACCAATGATTGCCCAATTGAATAGAATAATTCAGGAATTTCCATTTACATCTCTGTCTCTGTCTCTGTCTCTGTCTCTCTCTCTTTATTGGTTTGTCTTTTAAAAATGGTTTTTATGACACCCTCCTACCAACTTGACCTCCACAGGAAATGAAAAAAAAAAAAAAAAAAGGAGGGTGAGCCTCTGTGGAAATTCCTAGACTTCCACATTTGGAGGCTGCCTCTTTGCCCACATCATCTGCTGTGTGCTGATGGATGATGGCTTTAGTACACATGATATCCCTTACCAGTCCTTCACTTGGTTTAATATTTGCCAGCTGAATCACTTCCAGGTGAGCAGACTGGGAAACCAGAGGATCTGATGACAGAGATATGATGTGGTCACAGACTCCAGAAAGAGTTTTACACTGCAAGAAAGAGAGAAGTTATGGTAAACATATGTTGTCAGTAACGTACAAATCACCATTGATTATCGTTTTTAAAAGTTGTGTTTTCTTTTTTATGACATGTCTGTGTGAACATTAGTGCTGGCCCCTCACAGGCATCAGATGTCTCTAGAGCTGGATTAAAGGCAGCTGTGAGCTACTTAGTGTGGGAACTGGAAACTAAACACACTCTTCTTTATGGAGCCATCTCTCTAGCCCCTATTATTACTTTTTATAGAGGAAAACAAAGTGAAAGAATATCAACTGGTATTTGAGTTTTTAAAAGTTCTTATACAAAAGGTCGCATAATACACAAAAGGTATCTATATTTTTAAATTTAAGGATATATGAACTCTATGTCTGGGTGTTATTCCAAGTTATAGTTATATATTATTTATATTATTTGATGCATCAAGCCTAAATTATTACCTAATAATTTTGATAATCTGAGAGAACCTCTTGATATTGAGGTTTAATTTAATTCAAATTTAACTAAATTCTAAATAATATTAAAATCTGGATTCTTTTACTTAATGACCAGAAAACTTTCAAAGAATGATCAAGGTCCTTTAAAGATGCACCACTTGTTTGGCTAATTCTTGCATTTTTCATGACTTTCTGGATAAATTTTACCTTTGTATAAACTTCCTACTTCCATCAGGCAAAACTTGCAAGAATCTGTTTCTTCACCTTTCAATGACCAGTCAGAAACTTATCTTATTTTGAAACCTTCTCAGGCAGGGAGCATTTATATTCTAGTCATCTCTAGCTTTTCCCTGTACCCCACTTACCACTCATGTGTTAACACTGCAAATATATCTTTATGTGATCTGAATCAGCATAAGATCAAATAAGCAGTTTTGCTTTTACTGAAGGGGTTACTATTTTGTGGGAAACAAGGTATAATACTCCATCTCCACTAGGTTTTACTTGCTCTGTGATGACTGTATCCATGAAGGTGATGATTCTCTCTGTCTCATTGGGCTCAGCTTCCCTCTGCTACAGATACTGTCAGGCTAAATTTGCTTCTGTAATAGGACTCATGATTTTGGCATCTGTTTTTCAAGACTGCACTTTAATTGTGGTTATCAGCTCCTAAAGACAGACATTAGTCACATAACACCAATACCCAGAGAAAAAATACGGGCATGAAATGAGGATAGATGTATGTAATTACCACACTGACAATGACTTAGTCTGTAAGCAAGTTATATCATTGAGACTGTTTTCTTCAGATAAAAAATTAAATGAAGCAATGAAGATTGCTTTATAAAGTTTATAATCTATAATATGCTAATATATATTTAAAACAGCCCAATATAGCTCTTATCCAAAGATAATAAACAAATACTAACTTGCTTGTCTTACCTATTTTTTTAACCAATAAAGTCCTTAGTTCTTACACATGAGATTAATTAACACACTACTCTCAATTCCATGACCATCTTATAATAAACAATCACACTGGCCAGTCTAGTTGCATAACAATAATAGCAAGTTTACTCCTCTCCCTCTTCTTGATATTAAGGTCTCAGTGCTTTGGCTACAATGACAGTATTTGCTTTGATAAACACCTACTCACAAGTGATGGTTAGTGTTAATTGCCAACTTGACAATCTAGAATCACCTAGGATATTGGCCGAAGGTATGTTAGTGGGGATTATCTTCATTACATTAATTAATTAATTGAAGTGGGATGACATGGCCATTGTGGGTAGGACTTTTCCATAGGCAGGGGATCCTGGACTGTATGAAAATAGGGAAAACTAGCTGAGCAATGACATGTATGCATTCATTGCGGTTTCTGATTATGGATGTAATATTACCAGCTCCATCAAGCTCTAGCTTCTGTGACTTTCCCCATAATGATGGACTGTAACCAGGAACTGTGAGTTAAAATGAATCCTTCTGTGTCAGCCTTCATAAGTTTGTAACAGAGTTGTGAACCACCACACCAGGTTTATATTATTATTTTAAAACTCAATCATATTTAACATTACCTAAGACTGCATTTTAGAAAAACAGTAAGAGTAGGGAGATACATTGTAATCATTATCTAATATTATTGCTAGCAGAAATTATTTATAGAGTGTCTACAAATGTTTAGTACAATGCAAACTACTTTATATTCATTTCCATTTACCATTCTAATGTCCTGATGTAGGTATTATTATAGCCAGCTGAACAGATGTGAGAATTAGGCTAAAAAACAAGTCATGTTTGCTGATTTGGCACAATGATCTGAATTCTTAATTATTGTGTTTAGTTTGATTATTAGTTATTAACTTGTTTATAATTAACTTCCCTTTGTATCGTTTTGTCTGCATTAGATGCGTGTTAGATAACACAATTAAAAACATAGTATAATAAAGTTAAATAACATTTATGAGTGTTTTACAATTTAAAATATTGTTTGGAATATGCCTTTCTTCAAAAGCTTATGTCAATTTTAGCAACAAAAGGGCAATCTTATTATATCTAGAAGATGACTGGTAACCACTTCATAAAGGTCTTACTTTCTTTTTTTCAATATTAATTCCAAAGGATTTCATATCTTCCAAAAGCAAAAAGTAAGAACTTCTTAAAATACATGCAAAATAAAATTACAGGCTGATGCTCCCTGGTGGTCCAGTGGTTAGGATTCAGCACTCTCTCAAATAAATATAAGGGAATATACAATGACAATGAATATTATGCCTACCTAAGAATGACTGAATAAGTGGAAAGGACTAGTTATGATGAAGAATAATTTAAATATAAGTGGTTTCAAGTTATTTTTCTACAGGGTATTTAATATTAATATCAAATATAAATTAACATAATTAATGGTTTGTAATCTTATAGTATGGCATAGCCATCCCACCCCAATATGTTCTTGTGAATCAGCTTGTCTATCTTAATATAAAAAATTCTAGCCGGGCGGTGGTGGCGCACGCCTTTAATCCCAGCACTCGGGAGGCAGAGCCAGGTGGATCTCTGTGAGTTCGAGGCCAGCCTGGGCTACCAAGTGAGTTCCAGAAAAGGCGCAAAGCTACACAGAGAAACCCTGTCTCGAAAAACTAAAAAAAAAAAAAAATTCTAAGGGGTAAAAAAATCTAGGATTTAAAGCACTTTAGAGAAGCCACAGAATAGCTTCATTTGATTAATAGTAAGTTATAACATTCATTATCTCTGAACTTATCCAATATACTAGATGAAGTTTTACCTGTTGTATTTTTAAATGGAAATGTATTGAGTGATCTAAACACACACCACAGTGAAAAGCTAAGAGATGGGAAAGTCTTGCGTTAACTGCAGAGCACACCCAGGCATGATTAAGTTACTTGAAATAGTTTTGTTTATACAAATAACTGTAGTTCTGCTCAGTATTATTCAGAATATATTGGAGTAAGTAAATGGAAATAAGATTATAATCCATCTGACCTCATTAAAAACAAAACAAAACAAAACCAAAAAAATCCAGGTATATTAGGTTAAACAAAAGGCTTTACCAAAAGCAACTTCTACTTTTCACATCTATAAATGAATACAAATGACGAAAGGTATAAAATTACAAAACCACAATAAATTAAGAAATCAACAAATGGCATACACATATGATTTAATACACAGATAATTTAAATAACTCTGGCTTATTATCAGTTACACAGACAAGAGTAAGTTTTATTGTGGAAAATGCTAATTACTGATATAAACATTTTTCAATTATAACAGTTTAGAGAACGAAGTATGCTTTTATTTTACTATTTGGTTTGGATATAGAATAATTGAGTATAAATCTTGCCTGTATCTCTGTCATTTTGGGATGAAATTTGTATAAAATATATATTGATTCAAATAATGATGAGAATTCTAAATGGTAAATTTTATTTTGAAATATAAATATAATATAATACGTAGTGTCTCAGTGCTTGACAGATCTTTATTGAACTAGAAAACTAGAAAATCTTTTTATTACATTTATTAATGAGTATGTGAGTATATGCATACACACACAGACACACACACACACACAGATACACACACACAAACACACACACATGTGCACACCATGGCAAGTATGTGGATTTCAGTGGACAACTTCTGGAAGTTGGTTTTCTTCCACCAAGGAAAAAGATCAATTTGTTAAGCTTTCTGGCAACCATCTTTATCCACTCAGCCATCTCATTGGACCCTGAGCTAGAAATTCTATACTTCTACCTTAAAATATAAGGTATAATCAATTATGGATAACTCTGAAAGAATAAAGTTCAGGAATAAAATTTAAGTTTGTATTTAAAACTTTTATTTCATATACATATTTCCCAACACAGGAAGGATTTAGTTATATGAGTAAAGACAACTGAAAGACAATTTTAACTTGAAAACTAATGTAACAGAATAATAAATTTCACTGTGGTGTCAAAATTATATCTATGTCTAGAAAGGACTGTTTCAAATATCTTCAACTATAGGTGCAAGTAAATAAAAGTCACGCAGACACATTCTTCTAAGGCCTCCAAACCCTCTTTTAATTTCTCTGTTTTAAAATATGGTAGTGGAGAAAAAAACACCACAACATGAAATGAACCCGCCATGACCATAATCATGCCTGCATTAAGGCCATTCATATAATCAACAATCACAGAGTGTATGTTAAGTGAATTAAATGCCAATTGCAATGCTTATGGATTCCATAGCTTGGAGTAGTGTTTCTAGTAATTTATTTTAGGTTGTAACCTTAGTATCACAAACATTAGCCATGTTACACTTCTAGTTTCTGAAAACATAGAAGAAGCAATAACCCCCAAGACCCTGTGAATTGAAAATACTAATTCAAAACTCACAGCACTCAAATCATCTTTCCTTCTAAACTCTTACACTAAAATGTATAGGTCCCGACAATAACTGATAGCATCTACTCTGTCACTAAAACTTCTAATTGTTGAAATCCTCATGGTCACAAAATTTCAATAAATACAACTGCAAACTTTTTGTTCAAT